GCCGGGATCCCGGCAGCCCCGGGTCGTGGCCCCTGGTTTGTCTGCTCAGGGGGAGCTGGGGGGGCTGCGACAGTGGCAGACACGGCTGTGAAATCAGGCAGTGGCTCACGCTGCGCCGGCCCCCCGGGTGGTCCGGGAAGCTCAGCAGCCCCTGGACCCCGGGGGGCTGAGATGCTCTGGCTGTCAGTCATCCCAGCTCGGGCAGCTCTGAATGCGCAGAGGTTGCTTAAACTGGCTTTTTGAGCCCCTGTGGGTTTTTCTGCTTAGTTAATGGGTCGTGTTTTATGTCTGCTGAGGCTGAGCTCCTGGACCCAACATGGCTGCAGGATGAGCCCTAACCCCACTGCAGGGTGAGCCCCAACCCTGCTGCAGGAGGCTGCCCTGCCTTCCCCACCCGGGCAGGTTTTTGGCACAACCGACAACAAGTGCCCCGACAGCTGGGGGTGACCCCATCCCCACAGTGCTCGCCTCCAGGAGTGGGATTTTGTTCAATGAGTGAGCATTCGTCATCACCCCCAGCAAATGTTCAGCGGTATTGCTTGGGAAAGGCGTGAAGGGGCAGTCACGCCAGCCCTCCCTCCGGCATCTGCTGCTGGAGCTCTGCGGGAAAAATTGGGTGTGGGACCTGCTGTGCCGGTGAGCCGGTGGCTGTACAGCCGGGGCCATTCCCGTGTGATGGATAACGAAGGCAAGCTGCCCCGGGGAGGCAGGGGTGTGCAGGGAGGGGGGGGCGGGACGGTCCCCCCGAGCCGGCTCACTCCGGCGTGGCTTGGGTCTGCTTTGCAGCCGCAGCGGTGCCAGCCCCGGGGAGAGCCGTGCCGTGCTGCCAGCCGGACTGCTGGACCCCAACCGGCGTGACCCTCCCTGCCCTGCCTCCTCCCGGACGGCTGCCTCGGCTCTGCGTGTCCCAGGGCTGGAAGGAGCCCCTGGTTCATCGCGCAGCCCCAAGTGGGTTTATAGCAGCGGGGATGCGCATCCCCACCCCAGCTGCCACCAGCCCAGAGCTTAGTCTTTAAGGTCATCTCTCTTGGACCTCCCTGGTTTTTGCGTTTCATTTGAGCCTTGAAAAGGCCGAGCTGCAGTTTCGTCCCTGGCTTCCCACAGCGATCTGCTGGGGCTCCAGCTGACAGCCCTATGACCCCGAGCAGCGGTGGCCAGGGCTCCCTGGGGATGGCCACCCACCTCGGTGGCACCTTGGGCTTGTACTGGGCTGCAGCCAGTGGGACCTGGGGTCTGCAGCACTCGGCAAACCTGGTGCTTTGCTCCCCAAAACTGCGCCGAGAAGGGCCCAGGGCAGCTGTGGCAGCCGGGTGGGGGCTGTCCTCATCCCCAGGGACGCAGCAGCTGAAGCTGAAGTCAGGGTCCAAGATAAGCAAAGGGCAGGACAGGCTGGGACCTGCCCCACGCAGGGCTGTGCTATGCAGCCGGGGCGCAGGCGGCTCCCGGCATGGTCTGGATGGGACCCCCAGGTCAGACGGGCCCTGTTAGGGATGATGCCGGGGGGTAGATTGACTTCTGGACCCAGCCAGGAGGGCTGAGCAAGGTCAGCGTCGCTCCGCTGGAGTGCACAGACTGATGTTCAATGGATGTAAATCCCCATGGAGCATCAGGGTTTGCTGAAGCCCCCCACCAGCCTGGGGCTGGGAGGTGGTTTGAACGGCGGGAGGAAGGGAGCGGGTTTGCTGAGTGCTGTAACTTGACAAAAAGCACCTCTGGGAGCTGGGGCGGTGGAGCGGGTGCAAACACCCACCGGGGCTTGGTATGGGATGTTTGTGCTGGGATACAAAATGCATTTCACCCCAAGTCCAGCCCAGCCTGCACCGTGCTGCCCTCCAAGGGAGCAGCATCCCCCCTCCAGCCCGCCATCCTCCACCCCAGCCCGCTCTCAGCCTCCTCGGTGCCTGGGAGCAGAGAGGTTGAGCTGCCCAGGGCGACTCCTGTCCTCCCGGAACGGTGGAGGGACAAGCCCAGGGCCTGTGTGAGGAATCACGCAGCGGTGCAAAGGGATGCAGAGCAGCCACATCCAGCCCTTGCTTCCAGCGTGGGGTGGAGGAGGGAGGGGACGTAGTCCAGCTGTGCAGGATGCTGCTGTCCTCCTCTTCCCTCGCTCTGCTCACCGCTTAATAAGGACAATTCCTCTGGTGCCCCGCAGCCCCCGTGCCGTCCCCGGGCGTTTCTCCTGCTGCTTCTCCCTGCCAGCTGTGGGCAGGGGATGAGGGCGCAGCTCGGCGTGGGCACCCGCGTGCCGGGACTGGCAGCCCCATGTCCCCACAAGCAGGCTGGGGCGTTGGGGACCTTGGGGGTTGCACGGGGACAGGCACTCAGGAATGTTGTTTTTTCCATCCCGATTTCCGTCAAGGTAGTAAATCAGCGCTGCAAAGGGCTTTTGTTTTCCTCAGCACGCTGCCGGCTGCTGTGCCTGCCAGCCCCTGCCTCGCCTGCAGGAGCCAGGATGTGGCCATCCTTGCCCACACTCCCAGGGCTTGCTCCGGGGACGGGGTCCATCCCGGCCTGGCGAGGCTGGGGACCTGTCATGCCAATGGAGGTCACCTGGCATCTCCTCTCTCATCCTAGCAGGGATTTCCAGGGAAGCAATCACATCACATCCCAGTTCCCTTGCACCCCTTCCCTGGGTGCTGGACCCCCACAGAGAGACCTTGGCCCCCGCAGAGAAGGCTTTTCTCCGTCCATCCTGCACAGCCCGGCCGCGTCCCTCCCGTTGCCATCCCCTCCCTGCTGGGAGTGGTCCCGGTCTCTCATGGAAGGATGTCGGGGTGGCACAGAGTGACACCGAGCTGACCCCAGCCCTGCAAGGCTCTGCGGTTTAGCGGTGGGGTCCTCGTGCAGGGGGGGGTCGCCCCGCAGGCAGCTCGGCCGTGCCTCCTCCCAGCACGCAGCTCGGCAGCACATCCCGGCCAGGTACCCCGGGGAGCCGGGGGGGGGATATTGGATTGCAGCAGATGGGAGAGTGTCTGGGCACAGGGTGGCCCAGGCACGGCTCCAAATGCCGCTGGGTGACAGCTACACCGCAAAGACGTCTCCTGTATCCGCTGCGGAGGCAGCGCTCCCATAAAGAAACACGGGGCCCCCCCAGGGACGTGCAGTTGCCCTTCGGGGATGCAGCCAACCCAGGCTCCTTGCCCCGTGCGGTGCCACTGCCACGGGGGGGGGAAGGTGCCGAGGAGGGGAAGGTGCCCGGCTCCCCCGAGGGGACGTTCAGCTGCTGGCACAGGAAAGGTGTGAAGATCCCCAGATGTATGCGTTGCGGCTGGGCTATTTTGGAAAGGGACGGAGCCGATCTTGTGACCGGAGCTGGGGACTGCAAGTCTGGACAGCAAGGTCCTGCCTGAGTGACAGTGACCTGCTGCCTGACCTCGGGGAAACCCGAGAGCCCCCGCTGTGCTGGGGACAGCTTTCGCACCCCTTCCTGCCCCCGTCCCGGCTTGTTCAATGATGATGAAAACCAAGCGTTGGGCAGTGATGTGGCTGGGGACGACACGGGAAACCGGGGACAGACCCCAGGCTTGGGTGCAAATCCGACCCCCACTCTAAGGCATCCCTGTGGCCGGGCCACCAGCAGTCCCCAGGGCTGTCCTGGAGGTGCACCCCATTCTTTTACAGCTGTGCCACCCCCTGGCCCTGCGCTGTGGCTGGGCCAGGACCAGCCC